AGTTTGCCCCAGGCTATTTAAACCCGAGGCAGCGCTTGTTAGATCTATGTTTCAGGACCACGAGGCACAGATGATGACTGGGTCACTCCATGCAAGAGGCAGTACCAACATGACGTCTGGTGCTTAACATAAATTTTGTCACACATGGACTCGTACTGCATATTTTGTGTCGGTGGCCAGCGCTAAAGTGAGGGTTCGTCATCACGACGACGTTTCCTTCAATGTCTGCTTCGGTCTCAGTGCTACTGATACTGATGCAGTCCTGCTGTGCAGCAATACCACAATACACACAAATAGGAAATTTGATAAAGACTGTACCCAACAGGATCGTGTCAATGTCATGGAGTGGGATTGTATATATCCTTGTTAGGCTGTTGAAACCCCTTATACAAAATCAACGTATGAAGCAGCACCACCGCACTATTCTAAATCTCCGCCTTTCTAAAGGCCTTGGGTACCGGCAACTTGACAGGGGTGTCAGTGCGCGCTGTGCTCTGAATAAGATGCTCAAACGAAGGCGAGGATCCAACACGAGGCGTGAAAGGCTCAAAGTCCCAGAGGTAGCCGAGGGTGCGCAGGATTGAAGAAGCAGAGTAAGACACGACCTCTCCATCTGAGTTAGTGCCCTTCTGCTCGACCTGGCCTTTAGCAATCCACGGCGAGATCAAGAGAGTTGGGACGCGACCACCGAGACGGTCGAAGGAAAATGTATACTTCTCGCCGGAGGGCGCGATTTCGGTGTACGTCAGGTCATCCGGGCGGGTAGCCAGCGGGGGCGGGACATGGTCGTGGAAACCGCCAGTCTCATCAAAGGTGAGAATCAAAAGCGTCTCTTCCCACTGTGGGCTAGAGCGGACTGCATCGTAGACATTCTTGATGAGGGCTTCGCCTTCAGAGACGAGACCGGTTGGATGCATGGAGTTTGTGCCCACGCCGCAGCAGGACGGGTCAACGAATGAGAATTCCGGGAGTTTGCCGGCTGCCGCATCGGCGTAGAAGTTATCTAGGGGGACTGCTTTGTCGGAGTTACCGCTTGTGAATGTCCAGTCGAAGAAGTAGGCGTCAACCATACTAGGGCTTGTGTAGTAGTTCTTCCAGGTGTGGTTGGTTTCTGAGAGCTGCTGGAAGATAGAACGTTGAGTGAGGCCGTGCACATCTGGGTTGAAGGCATCATCGTTGGTGCCGTGACCGGCAGATGTGCCTGAGAGTACAAAGGCACGGTTGGGGTTGGTGGGCTATTCATACATGTTAGAGACTATGGGTGGCGGGTATAGGGCATGGAACTTCGCTCGGACTTACACCAGGGTGATCCGAATGCCAGTGATTGAAAGTGAGATAGTTTTGCACCAACGTAGTCATTACGGGGACCTCATCCTCAATATAGTAGTTGATGACTTGCTTGGCCAGATAAGCCTTGTCGGCATCGTCCCCATAGCTGCGCAGCTGCTCATGCACAAAGCCATGCTGAGTGGGAGTGAGCTTGCCCTCAGCAATGTGGACATTGCTTGGGGCGAAAGTGCCATAGAACTCGATATTGTTTCCAGTCACCGAGTGATCAGGATCATCCAGGACAGAGTCAAAGTCCTTAGCAGAGCTGCACACGTTGCCAGCTGCAGGATCGGTCAAGTTATACGGGTTGCAGAAAGGTCCGTTGTTGATGGGGTTCTCCAGTCCCTTGATAGTCTGCCCGCCGAGCAGGTTGTCCACAGAGCGGTTTTCCATTTCCAGGATGACAACATTTTTTATCTTGCTCTTTAGATTGGCGATGGAACCCGAAGAATGAGGGGATTGTTGAGCCTTTGCATCAGCTGAGACCGCTGCCGCAAAGGCCAACAGACCAAGAAGGGCACTGAGGTTCATTATGAATCAAGGGGACAGGCCAGTCGAAGGTCTAGTCAGAGTGCTTGGTTTTCTGAGGTTTGAATCAAAGGATATGGTGTCTGTCTTATATGTGCATTTAACCAAATATCCCTGGCATTCCTCCGAAAAATCCAATTTTCAATATCCCCTTCCAAGTGTTGCTCTGAAAAACACGGCTCGATGGAGTTCTATCTAGAAGCATGGGTCTGGAGAGCGGTAGTGATCAAGCTGCGGGGTCATATAAATTAACACTCTCACAACGCGGGGGTGGACAACGTCAATATGAAATGCACCCGATTGGAGATCGTCGCATCGTCCCCATATTTCACATCTGATTGGCCACTTGGAATCGATGGGCAGGCACCTCAATCACGTAAAAGAGGTACCAGCAGCACAGAATGTTGTGTTTCACGCACGCCCTTAAAGGTCGGCGCATGAGCACTTACCATCACGCCAAGCATTCGCACAGACTGTGAAAGTGCCAACACATGAAGAATGACCCTAAAAAGCAAGGTCATGAGTTGCCTGGCCAAGTTTGGTATGTTGGCTCGCAGGCAATTTGATTCGGCCCACTTCATGCCGTGTGGAATTCCCCGGACCACAACAAGACAACTGCCACGGGGTTTCCCACGCTAGGATTATCGGGATGAAGTGCGACTTCCACAACGTTCAACATAAAGTGTCGATCGTTGCAAAAGGTGACATTTGATTCCTCTTCACTGAAGTATTTGATCGCGCCTGAAGTTGAGTTTCATGCGCTCCCGCGGCCGTGCGGGTAGAGGGCGGTGATTGGCTATCAACCTTGCAACAGCCAACAGCCTTAGGTGGTGAGCTGGATTGGATTATTCTGTAAAGTCCGATGTAGTATTCGGAGGATACTCAGATAATACAAACGTAAGCTTTTGTAGATGCGGGGGTACAATCGACCTATGTAGTGCTTTCCACCAAGAATCACTCGTCTCTATCCATCTACATCGTAGTGTACTAATGTCAAGCCACATCTTATTGAACTCCAGTAAGCTAATCTAACACATACATTATATACAGACTACAGATCTTGCTCTCCACTCGATTATGCCGGCCAAATGCTGATCTTAAATAGAAAAGGACAATATGCTTCCAAAAGGGGAAGGTGGGTCTTATATCACGTGCTGATGCCTGAACATGTATTCAGTTGATGCCTGCAAATATTGCAGACACTGTCACCCACGGCCTATGTTGTACAACATAGATTGATAGTGTCTATACATGTTTTATTTAGCACGCCTTTGATCTTTTAAGCCCATCCAAAGCTCACTATTCTAGAAATTCCCAGAAATACCCAGAAATACCCAAATTATTCATGCATCGGGTAAACTGTCGATGATGCCATCTTCAAATGTCTCCGACACTAGCCCCCGCCATCAAAAACCAATTAATAATCATGTCTGGATTTCCAATCTAACGTTGCCTCATAATTTATACCTTATATATAGGTTTAAAAAAAGTCTTTTGTTTCTTACCTGTCACATAACAGCATCCTCATACTGTGGAAAAACATTCCCTCTCAATTGCACAGAGTTCAACAGCCCACTACTATCCCATCGTGAGGAAAGCAAAACTCATCCAATAACCTCAACATCACAACAAAATCTATGATCTAAACGGTCTACACACCAAACTATCATAAAAATGACGACAGCAGCATTCAGATACATTGACCGAGCTTCATACGACCCCAACGCCACAGAGCCATTCAAAAAACCCTGGGGCAAAGTCGACGGACCAGGCCGGTCCTACCAACTCACAGAACTGGACCGCAAAGTCGAGGACCTCCGAGGCCAAGAGTCTCAATTCACAACAGACAATTCCGGCTTCGCTTTATACAACTCACCTGCGAAGGAGACCGCATTCACCGACGATGCCAAAGTGCAGGCGGGTTACTACGCAGAAGTAGAAGAGCTACTCCGCAAGAAGCTCCCCGGGGTGAAAAAAGTAGCCATCTTCGACCACACCATCCGGCGACGGACGCCGGGATCAGCGCGCAGTCCCGTGCAGCTGGTGCACGTGGACCAGACGCCCCGAGCTGCTGAGGCGAGAGTGCGTCGCCACCTGCCCGAGGATGAAGTAGAGGAGCTGTTGAAGGGCCGATACCAGATTATCAATGTCTGGCGTCCGATTGAGAATCCGGCTTCTGATTTCCCATTGGCGCTGATTGATTGGAGGAGCATCGCTCCTTCTGATTTTGTCAAGGTTGATCTTCTTTATCCGAAGGAGTGGCAGGAGAATCAAGAGGTGGCGCCTGATTCTGAGTCGATGTTTTCTACGGAGGGATATGAGGTCAAGGGAGAGACTTATGCTATTGCTCCTAATGAGGGACATCGTTTCTTTTACGCTAAGGATATGACGCCCGAGGAAGTCATGTTCATCAAGTGCTTTGATTCGAGCAGTCATACTATGACTGAGGGGAAGACTGATATTGCTCATGGGTCCGGACATACTGCTTTCTTTGATCCGCAGACTCCTGCTGGATCACCGGGGAGGCAAAGCATTGAAGTTAGATGTCTGGTTTTTTATGAATAAGCACAAGGGGCTCTCATGTCGCAACGAGTGATGTATTCAATCCAAATGTCATATCTTTCACGTTATTTCTATCCTGTATATCATCTATATTATTGCTATTCATGTCCCGAGGTCATTAATGGGTGGGGCTCGGCCGACAGCCACCTATCTTTCCGATATTGCGCAGGATTCTTGGCCCAAGTGTCATCAGAAGGCGCATTTGATAAGTCAAACCAATAACCTTAAAAATCTATGTAAAATGTCTGTTAAACCTAAGAAAGATACTTAGATTACCAATTGACCCGGTCTTGGCAGGAGTATGTCTGCGAACTTCATCTGTGAGTCACGGAACATCCCCATATTACATCTCCATCTTTATAAAAACCCCTCCCTCCCTCCAAGAGATCAATTTATTTTTTGATTGTTCACCTCCAATTCGAACTTCACATATTCACAGCTCGCATCTACCAAGGCTTTTTCCCATTTTCTCATAATTACTTCAAGACTGCTCAAAAATCCGGCTAAAGAGTGAGCCCTAACACCAATGCCCCCTCCTACTCTCCTGGTGAGCATACTAACATCTACCCCAGGATTCAAAAATGTCCTCTTCAATCTCAGAACTACGAAACCAACCCAAAACCTGGACAAAGGGAGAATACCTAATCTCAACAGACACATCCCTAATCCCCATCAAAACCCTAAACGCATGGTACGCGAGCGAAGAATTCTACTGGGCAAAGCCCATGCCAGAGCCTGCGTTGCGCGAAACATTACAGAACTCCCTCTGTTTCGGGTTGTACCACACTACAAACCAAAGCCAAAGCCAGCCAGACAAGACACCAGAGAACGATACATCGCCAGAATCCACTCTTGAATTTGTCTGCTTCGCACGCTGCGTAACAGACTACACAACATTTCTCTTCTTGACAGACGTCTTTGTCCTTTCCTCACTCCAAGGCCTCGGTCTGGGATCATGGCTTGTGACCTGCGTGCAGGAGGTTATTGAGACGATGCCTTATCTGCGGAGATCACTGCTGCTTACTGGTGATTGGAAGCGGTCGGTGCCGTTCTATGAGAAGGTTATGGATATGGAACTTATGGTGTGTAATCCTCCAGTCGATGGGAAGGATGCGGTAGGTTTTGCTGTAATGCAGCGGAAATCTTGGGGGGCTCCTGGGTTTGGGGAAATGCCCTAGATATATCTTTTGGAGTTTAGAATGGGGTTGTTTGAGGATTATTATATTATAAATAGCATTGTTGTCGTGAGTTAAAGTATATTTAATTTGAAAGAGACGCTTTTGTTTCCATCTGTTCATTGCTCATATCACTCGTGACCAAACATTATAAGGAAATAAATACTAAGTCACCCAGACTTCCGATTCCTGTATGCTCCACGCCAAAGTCCTGGCTCTTAGCTCTTAGCTCCGAGCTCTGAAATTCATATCATCATCAAGAAATCATCCCATCATGTCATGTTTCTAATCAAACCCGTATCCCCCATTAGCAGATCCCAACGAGTCCCACGGAACAGATGTAGGACCAATCCAATTCTGCGGATGCATCTGCCCGAAACTAGAGTGCATGGTGTGCTCACTGGAAATCGATGCAATAGTCGGTACCGGCGATCCAGATTGCGAGTGTGAATGCGAGACGGCATAGTTGTCCTGCATTGTCATCCCGGGGGGGAGGTTTGACATAGAGAGGGGCATTTGGATGCTTGGTAGAAGGTGGTTGTGGGACTGGGATTGGATATTTGCTTGGTTTTGCTGGTGTTGGACTTGGGCTTGGACTTGAGCCTGGACCTGAGCCTGGGCTTGGAGGTGGGACTGAGAGTGGGTGGGTGATTGTGGGTTGTATCTTGATGAGGCAACGTCGCTGGTTTGTATGTTAGTTACTGGTCTAGAGGTGGGAGGAACTAGGTAAGGGTAGGGGTGTGTAACTTGGACATACATCATCTGTCGAATTATGGGAACAGCCTTGCTGCAGAAAACACTGCGGACTGAGAGCGAGGCGAACATGTCTAGTGCTCGATCGAGGATCTCTTTAATCTCTTCGTACTCGGACTGGCCCTCGGGAATGAGTAGAATGACAGCCAATGTGACTGCAGCATGAAAGGCATGGAAACTGCCTAGGCCGCTGGTATACCATTTGTAGGGCTTGAACGATGGCGTTTCGAGGAGGGTTTCGAAGATGGAAAGTGAAGCCTTGGCGGAAGCGATACACTTTGCCCTTGTAGCGCAAGTTTCAGGTGTAATCTCGCCTTGTAGGTACCGACAAAGACCAGGCCGGAGGAGAAGGAGAAGAAGTTGATGGATCTGGCTATAGAGGATGTGGTGGTTGGCTTGGTGGTGTATGGGTAGGGGATTGGTTGTATCGAATGCATAGCGAGCCTCGACCATTTCCCGAACGGATATGATTTCCGCTTCGAGGTGAGAGGTGGTGAATCTGGATGTACTTGGGTAGCTGAATATTGTTTCACAAATCTTCGAGGAGATTTTGTATAGTCGGAAATTCAAGAGGAGGTAGGTCATCTGTGTTGGACGGGGGAATATTGACGGTGCTGGTCTTTTTAAACTTGGACTGGTGAGCAGATCAACGTCGTCGATGTCTGTAGGCATTTTCACGTCTTGCGTTAGAGTTTGTTGGTCAAGACTCCCAAATGCTGTGTTTTGGATGGTATATAGCATCATTAATCCGGCCCAGACCCGTCGTCGCTCTTCTCGCTCAATTAGCCCAAGGGTAAACCGCTCTGGGTCTAAATGGCAACCCATTGATATTGCAACATGATGTGTGAATCCTAGCAATGTCCAGATCGGTAGCCCGCGGTGGACTCGGGCGTAGCTTATAAGAACTAAAGCTTGCAATGAGTTGATCGAATGCCGAGACATCACCCCATCGGCAGCGAGGCACCGCAACGCGGCAGATCGATATCGTGCTGACAGCACTTTGATATTTCGGCTGACCGTTCGTTCTCGCCCCAGATCAGACAGCAAAGGATGGTCATCATCGAGTGCGCTTACAGCGATAGCTAGAATGGCGAAGAGCAAAGCCAGCCACGATGTAGATACACTACCAGGGTCATGGCAGAAATGCTGATACTCGGCTTCAAACGTCAGATCGTGAAGAATATGAAAAACCTAACGTGCTGTCAGCTAGCGTCTCCCCCTAATTTCTTTCCATGACATACCGAGGAAAAGACCTGAAAATAGACATCCTTGAGAGTATCACAATACCGGCCAGGCGGCAGTATCGATAACAGCTCAGCACGTGAGATACTCCCATTCCTAGCCAACGGGATTTGCAAATCATCGTCATCTTCCGCGATATCCGAATCTGAATTGGGCAAACACTCCGCAGCGGGGCTCTTCGCCACTAAAGACTCCCACTGTGAAGCCAACGGCACATAGCGCACATGTCCCGAAGGAGAAGTACGTAGCGTGCCAACATTATCCAACATGGGGCCGAGGGAGTCCCATGTCTCAGGCTCGGAGAAACTACCAGCTGCGCTCGTCCCACCTAGTGGCGAGACCGCGCCACCAGTGGGCGTACCAGCATGCGAGCTCATTTGCTTCTGGAGCAATCCTTCCAGGTTCCGAATTCGTGCTAGCAGTTCGTTCTGCACTGCGCTGTCGCCGGGCGAGGATTGCTCGGTTGAAAGTCGCGGTTGGCCGAGGTAGATGCAGTCTTCAGCGCCTAGACCACGGCGCACGCATGTTTTACATGGCCGGCCGTCGCGCGAGCATTTGATCTTTCGTGTTCGACAGGCCTGGCAGCTGATGGGGAGGCGCTTGCCTGTTGACCGGGATGAGGATGAGGCCATAGATGAGGTGATGGAGGTCGAGGCTGCACTGAAGTGAACTGGCGCAATCACCTCCTCGTCTGAGGGGTTATGGAGAAATTGCGAGAAGATTGTCGAGCGGGGAGGAGCTGTTGCTTAGGAAAATCGAACGGCCGGTTTCAAAAAGGGGTACTCGATGTATGTTGTGGGTATGGATGGATGGGTTGTCATTTGTTCATGGACCTATAATAAAATGGAAAGAAGAACCCACACTGGATGAGCGGGGATATTGACGTTTTAAAAGTTGAGATAAGAAGGGGACTGGCGAAGTCTTCTATACTTCCGGATGAAATTTGTAATAGGAGGCAGCCCTTTTCTTTTCACATGGGGATGCGTCAATCGGAGTAAAATGTTAGCGGCATACTTATTTGCCCCTGTCCTGAAGAAGTCGAACCAAAAAAATCCTAAATATAATTATTTAAAAGGGTCTAGGGGTTCTGAAGGTGACAACATTCTTAATACGGGGAGTCCGATGCATAAAGCCTTTCTAGAAGGGTGGAAATGGATCTTCGGGATTCTGGGCGATCAGAAAAGTCTAGCGGATATGAATATCCCCGATGCTACTAACATGAATCCAGTATAGACCGTAACAGATCACTGGGATTGTTTAATCCTATTAGGGCTTTGATACACCTAGAATCCATGGTTTCGTAGTTGCTCGGGCCCTTCCCATCTCGGCCCTTTAGAGAACACATCCAACGCCCGTGGACATCATTTAACACCGAAGAAACTGCGAGTATACTACGAAATGTTTTGTTTTTTTTTCCCTGCTAGTTGATGTAAGTGGAGTGTGTGCGACACCGACAAACACGTACATAGGGATAATTCGTGGTTAAAAGCCGAGTTGCCGTTGCCACACTATACGTGGCTGAGCCACAGTGGCTGCCGATCTTTTCCCCCCTTGCTTCAGCTCCGTAATGAATTGCCCCAAATAGAACGATTACTGGTTAGGTCGGTTACTCTCAGCCACATATGCCATGACGACAATAACCCCCCCCCTTGTCTACCTATGTTGTAGGTACGGCGTAGGGGTTGCTCTAAGTGTGGCTCCATAAACGTGAAAATTCTGATTAACTTTTCAGCTCCCCGGAGATGTCAGTGTCAGTTCCAGCAGGTCGGAGCTTTGAATTGTTTATTTTTCTTAATTTCTATAGAACGGAGACCCCGGTTCGCCTCGGAGATTTGAGATTTTACCAATTACAGCACAATATTCATCAATATAATTCCCCTAATATATATGGTAAATCTTTTAATAGGATATTGGAATATTGAAATACTACTAAAATACTAGAATATTAAAATATTATGTAGAATTCTTCCTGCGGCTCTCCAAATCCATATTCCCATTGTGTGAACGATCGTCTGCGGGCTCGGACCCTTCAGGGCTCGTGTTCCTGGCTCTCGGGAATCCGGTAACTTTTTAACGTTGAACTAGTTAAAACTACCTGGCTCCGAGGTAAGCCCGAAGAAACTGCTGGAAAAAAATCAAAGAACTAAAATGAAAATAAAAAATGGATAGGCCCTTGAAAAGGAACAGGAATGGAGGTCAAAGAGTTATGTACCAAAAGTACGTGGCAAACAGTCTCCCGATTTCAGGAGTATCCAGGGGATCCAGCTGTTCCAAATAATACCACGTGGTTCAAGATAGTCCCCCAGGTTGAGGTAGCTTTAACGATCGTCAGTAGTGATCCTCCCGACGCGTGGCGATAGAGTTTCGAAGACAATATCTAGCTGTATACGGAGTATCGCAGGGGTGTTGAGCCACTACGAAGTACTTTTTAGTCAAGATTGTAATACCGCCTCAAACCGAGAATCACAGCATGCGAGTTTTGCAAAATCACCATCGGTCGAACGGCGAATTACGTTGTGCAACTCTGATCTGGACTGTTCTAGTTCTCCATGCTTGTCTGGTGGGGAATCCAAGGCTGAAACGGGGGCGACAAACGAGCTTTGTTCCACGGTTGCTCAGACTGCTTTGATTTAAATGCTTCGGCCTAGTACACATGCAGCCCAAAAATCGCTTGTTTGACTTTGTGGCTTCGGTAGTTGTTGGAAGGCAAATAAAAAAAAAAGGCCAGCAATTTAACACCCAGTCGGAAGAAGGGGGTTGGAAATCTGCTATCCTACAATTCTTTTGAGTCCACAACACGGAAGAATATTTGAATACACATGCACTTCTGGGATTGAGGTTGAAATTATACATTTGTATAAGCACCTAGTTGATCTCCACGGAGCCCTGCCGATGTAGTTCAAACTGCCGTTGCAGTTCCATGGGTCGATTCAATGTGCTGCGTCTCGCCAACCACACTAAGCGCACGCTTAGGACCCTCGTCCTGATCCACGACCCGGTCACCGAAAGCAGCCGCCACTTCTTCGAGGGTCTTCTGCTTAGTTTCCCTAAATAAGGTTAGCATGTCATTTCTTTTTTTATCTCTCTTCATCTCCGATGAAACAAGTGGAACGGAATTAGACTAGCGACTTACGGGAAGTAAAAGTAAGCGATCACTAGGAAGAATGCGGAGCATACCACAAAGACGTAGTAGTAATTCTCGTGAATATTGGCGAAAGCACTGGGTCCAGCCTCGGTGACTGTTTTGGGTGAAGAGGTTAGCAATTGCATGCATAAATGCACTAAATTTCACAATAATTAATGCCAAACATACTGCCAACATTAACGATGAAGTGGGATGCGGCTGCAAGACCCATCACCTTGCTGCGGAGAGCGATAGGAAGAACTTCGGCGCCATACAGCCATGTAGTACTGTTGAGCATACCGTCTAAAAGAAAACCCCTGAGTTAGCAATAATTTCATGCAGTCCCGGTCCGAATTCGTACAATAGCAAACCACAAAGAGATAGATTCCAAGAATCGCGAAGCCCTTTCCGACGCGGTTGTCTGTATTCTGAAACTGCCTCTGCATCACCGCGGCGTAGATCTCGATTAAAACAATGCCAGCCAATCCGGTGATCAGCATCCTGTGGGGATTAGCCCCAGACACGAAAATCGCTAACTCGGAGAATCTACTTACTTCCGACGTCCCCATTGGTCAGTCATGTACATTGTAGTGACCGAGTTGGACAAAAACGCGATGGTACCGTAGACTGCAGCCAAAGCGAGGATCGAGTGTGATCCGATTCCAAGGCCCTTGTATAGAATTGCTGAGAATAATATTAGCATCGTAACAATTCCAACTTCAGCATTCGCACACAGAACTCACTCTGATAATACTGAATAACATTGACACCTGTCAAACTCGTCATCGTCTGCACAGCAATAGACCTAAACATCCAAGTCAGTTCCCAACCACACAACCCAACAAGAAAGGGGAAGAGAGAACTCACACAAGCACCCGATGTCTAAACAATTTAAAGATCTCCCGGTAAGAAGTCATCTCCCTCTCCATCTCATACTCAATCTGCGCCTTCATAAGCCCAAACTCCTCCTCCATCTCATGGAGCGCAAGCCCACGCCGAATACGCGCAAACTCGCTGCGCGCCAGGTCAATCTTCCCATGGCGAATCAGCTGGCGGGGTGAATTAGGCATGAAAGTCGCAAGGCCAATAAACATGATAATTCCCCAGGGGATCTGGATTCCCAAAGGCAGGCGCCATTGAATGGGGCCGTAGGGCGCATAACTACAAGCATAACCGACCCAGTTCGACATCATTGTTCCGAATGAGATGCCGCAGCCGGAGATTCCACCTATCAAACCGCGGTATTTTGGATCTGAGATCTCGCTCAGGTAGATAGGGACTGTTGCGACCATTCCACTTAGGGTTTGTTAGTTCTGGCCGGGTGTTTATAGATATCATGGGGAATATAGGGAGTATGGGTGGCTTACCCTACCGCGAAACCGGCTAGCACACGGCCCGCGAGGAACATGCCGATGTTGACGGAAGCAGTTTGGATGACGGTGCCTATTGTCACGATTATGCACATCATTTGCATGAAGCGAATGCGGCCGAGTCGGTCGCCGATGAATGTTTGTGTTAGGGCGCCGACGGCTTCGCCAGCGATGTACACGGCCACAACCTATATCGTCAGTTTCTGGGTCTATCTCCCTGGTTGAAGGTTGAATGGCTGGTTGGCTGGACATACAGCTCCTGTGATGCCATTTGATGGCTTTTGCATATAATCAATCCAGCTTTGGTGGGCAATCGCTAGTCAACTTTTAGTTTAAGTCGCGAATGTGGAATTTGTGGATAATTGTAACTCACTAGTTGTGGCAATGCCCGTATCGAATCCCTATACTCAATTGTTAGAGCTAACTTCGCGTTGTACGGTCCAAGATCAAATGATCTCGGAAGAAGAGATCAACCTACAAACAAGAATGTGCCTATAGCAGCAAAGAAAGCAATACTCAGCGAATACCACATCGCCATCTTGAATGTTTCTTGATTCTCGGCGAAATCAAGATAGAGATATTTAGAAGTAAAGAGAAAACGTAGATCACACAGAACTAAAGACAAGAGCTACCCTGGCATATTAGTACATCACCTAGTCTCTCAAAGAACAAGCCGGGCAACGTCCGATGGGCCGAGGATGCGTCACACAGCAGAGAGACAAGGGATAGACAAGACAGACGCCCATTGTCGGAGGAGGGCCGACAGACCGATTCCTGGGGAAGCGGGGGAACTGGGGTAGGTCCTGAGTACGAGAAGTCTCCACTATAAAGAATTCAATGCATTCATTGGGATGTTTTTGAGCCGTTTAGCCTCGCAAGATAGGAAGATGGCTGCTTCAAGGCTCTCGTGTGGTCCCCCGGAATGCGGGGTTGGTATCCTCGGGGTAGATGTTTCGGCGAAGATCTGCGTCTTCATATAATTTTATTTCATTTCGGTATAAAGTCTCTCTACCATGTTTTACCCGGACCAATGGTATGAAATCACTCCTGATGAGAACCGGGTTACCACTTTGGGATGACGTCTTGGCATTTACTTCACCCCCACGCGCGTCATCCAACTCTTCGGTGTTTTCCCGATTTGGTTCTGTTGTGTCCTGATAATATGTTTGCTTCTTTTGAGGAATATATGTGGACTGAAATATAGTGGGTGTTCTGGGGGACAAATATCATATGTCGCTAGGGAGGTCCTTGTCAGGTTCGGAGAGACCCCGATGATAGTGCCAAGGTTAGACCAGAGTATGATGTAGTCCATTGGTGGCTGACGGCTTCTAAATGTCTTTTTGATGGGCTGTCACTGAGTTGATAGCCTCGGGGGTAATTGAAGCGAGGCATGAGACTTCGATATGTTACAGAGACACTCACAGGTAATAGTGGACCCATTTACGGAGTAGAGGATGTGTAAAGGGTCTTGGCAAGAACTGGGGCATATAACCCATTCTTTATATATCTCAATATCTTAAGTCAACTGCTCACTCTAGGAGTAGATAGTCGCTAACTCTACCTAGAGAACATTTGAAGTAAAAAGCCCGAGAGCACAATGGACACCAAGACATGATATCACTACGATGATGAGACAGCTATTAGCAGCTCTACTGTGAAGAAAAGATAATCATTCAACGACTCATAATCTGGTAGTCATAGATGGTGTTTTTGAATAGTTGAATTCCTATTTCATTTTTCCATTGCCAATGTCATATATGCTCCGCAAAAACAGCGAAGCACTTTGTGCAATGCAGGAAACCCAGAAGCCGAACAAGGAAATTGAACAATCTAGAAAACAAGGGCAGCACCCTTGGTCTTCTTGTCACCACTGTAAAGAAAAGAGATACGTCAGTACTGGATACCTAATAGAACAATGTGCAGATTCAACATACCCCAACTCGAAGTGCTTGCAGCGCTTCAGGGCGAGCTGCTTCTTGGCCTTGCAAGCAGTGCACTCGAGACGCAGGACGACCTTCTTGGTGGTCTTGGCCTTCTTGTGGAAGACGGGCTTGGTCTGACCACCGTAACCACTCTGCTTCCGGTCGTAACGGCGCTTACCCTGGGCGAAGAGGGAGGCCTAATCACAAAAGAGAATAAGATCAGCAATGGCTCACGACTACCATTCCGGTGTCGAGGGCACTAACCTTGCCAGCCTTGTACTGGGTGACCTTGTGCTGTTGGTGCTTGTGGCACTCCTTGGACTTGCAGTACGTCCGGCGGGTTTTGGGAATGTTGACCTGTGCGGAGAGATGTCATGAGCTTTTGTCTTTTTGGTTTGATTGTGCGAATAAGATCAATGTCAATGTGGTTCGCGCCCCGAAATCCGAATCGAAATTAGTGCGGTCGCAAAGAGATGGGTCGTGTTGTCCGAGTTCTGGTGTTCATATAGCAGAAAGCATAGCTGGATAGCTGAGATTCAAAAAGACCGCGGGGTACATCCATTGTGGTCTGCTTCTCGAATCCTCAATTCGTCACCAAGTGTTGTTATTGCAGGTTTCGCCACCCATTCCTTCTTCAATGCTGACTTCCATATTGCATGCTGCGAGGATCCGGTGAAAAACAGACGGTCGGGTGGTTCATAATGTGGTGATTCGCGACGGTCGGCGGATTTGACGATTTCGAGGTCGGCCGCACAGTGGACATCACACAATCTCTCCACGACTCGAGGAATTTCGAACGGTCGGGGCTTGCAGAACACTTTGACATATCTCGTAGGGTGATATCCTTACCATTTTGACTGACTTGGCCGGATAGCTGGGTGGTGGTCGTTGGATTGTCGCTTGTCGGAGGAGAGCAAGTGCGATTGTTGGGTTGTGGGATTTCACTCGCTTAGGCCCTATCGGGTGGGCGCTAACCTTTTTAGGAGTCGCCAAGAAGATTGTGCTGAGTCATTTATACACTTTATGCCTGAGGCATCATCAACATCACTGATCTCTAAAAGTGTTTATAGTCCTTTCTCAGCACATATCTTGTGTTCTACTATATGAATCCTTCTCCGAGTACAACACTATCCCCCACTCCATACCATGTTGGGCCCTTCATCAATTCCAACCCCTTTTCGTGGCCTATCACCCATTGCCCTTGAGATGGGTCCCCCAATCTCCACCACACATTTGAGCGGAGTTCATGATTGAGATCCTCGATCTTATCAATAAGTTCGGATGCTTTCTTCTCGAATTGCTTTTGGGAATTCGACTGCCCTTCTTTGGCACCACTATGCGTAATAAAGCGCGCAATGGTGATATGCGCAGACGGAACGGTATATCTAGCCGCGATTGGACAGCCAGATTGAGTCACGATGTTGTAGAGATCACTCCGCAGATGGTGATATGTAAATTGGTCATCTTTTCCACTATACTCACTGCGATCTTCCTCACCAGCTGCGGGAACAAAGCTCAGAGCAATAGCAGAAGTGTCGTAGCTGATTATTGGCTTGACTAGCCGAGCACGGTGGGTGAGAGTGTAGTTTGCCAGCTCTGCGACGGACCCAGTCATCTCAAGGGAAGAGGTGATCTCGTCAATCTTGGGTCCTGTAAGTTCAGACCTGATCTCTAGCGTTGTCATGTGCAGATGGTGCGGTGGTACGAGCCAGAGGCCTATATTATAGAATAACTGTTAGTACAGTCTCTGTATTACCCATGGACAATATATAGTACTTACCAGGCCCAATCAAGGGACCAATCTCCTGCTGGATCTTGGATATCAAATCTTGGATATGCTGTGGTGGACGTGCCCAAAAGGCAAGGTTGTGTCTCGGGTCGACGAAGTCTGTCAACCCCTTCTCTCCCTCAAGGACTTTAGAGAGGATCTCATCTTCTTTCCATTCGCAAAATCCGGGTTGGCAGATTTGATTTCTGAAAGAGGCATTTCTATTGCTTCTATGGACCTCATAGGCAATTTGCAATTGTTTCTAGATGGAACTCTCAGCATTTTGTTGTTCATAATTAATGACTCAAGCCTACCGGGTCATTTTCAGAGCTAGTGATCAATTTCTGAAACTGATTATCAGCTGTACCATGTTGCACGGGCTCATTGGCCATTTTGTTTGAGGTCGGACTCTAATTGACAGGTAATTCTAGTCTGGGCCGAGTTTCAGCGGGGTAGATGGGGTAAAACTGCATTCAAGTGAGAACAGCAGATTTATATTATCTAATTTCTGGATATCAAGTGGTGATTATAAAAAAAGAACATGATTATAATTTTTGTATCAATTGCTAGTCAGAAAATAGCTTTTCTGGGTTCTCAATTCTCTTCTAAAATATCAATTATACTGTAGGTAGTTCATTATATATTACTGAATTCTGATGGACAACTCATTTTGAAAAATAGTGTTTTGGGGGCTTACTGCTAAAATCAAGACAGCAAAAACAAAGCAAGGCATTTCATCTTCCTCTAAAAGTCCTAATTATGGTGTTCTCTTCACTGCATTGTTTACATTGTCGCAAGTGAAAGTGAGGCTCCGACGCAATCAGGCAATAAGGCCACAGGCCCCCACCAAAACCCCGCCGGGCTCACATCTTCTCTCCAAACACTCAGTGACAAGAGCTGTACCTCCAACTACATCCCGGGCGACCCATACCTTGCTCCATTACTATCATACAAACCACCGAGAAAGCCACTGCCGCTTCAATATGTTGATCAAGTGCGTTTCTCAGCTCTAGCATGACCCCGTCTCCATTGCATCATCGCATAACCCCAAACTCGAAAAGGTCACCCTCAGAGGCACAAGTTGACATTCCGCGTCTAAACAGGGTCCGAACACTTACCGGCAAGGAGATCGAGCTCGATATCGAGCCTGACTACAAGGTAAACCACCCACCAGCCTTGATGCGTTTCCGGTTCTTCCCCGCACGGAATCACTCTACCCTTTTATTGAAACCACACCCACGTCCCGGCTACATCCACGCTCTTTGAATGCGCATATACTGATACGGGCGGTTTCATACAGGTCTCCCGGATAAAGGAGCGTGTCGAGGAGAAGGAGGGAATCCCCCCGGTCCAGCAACGACTCATCTTCGGCGGCAAGCAGATGTAAGAAACTACTCCTTGAGCTATTTCCATTGCGTCTTTTCTCAACATCAAAAACAAATCCAAGCTGACAACTTGTCACCAACAGGGCGGACGACAAGACAGCCTCAGAATATAACCTCGAAGGTGGCGCTACGCTCCATCTCGTGCTTGCTCTGCGTGGAGGATGCGCTGCGATGTCGATGTAAGCGCTTTTTGTCATTTTTAGATACCATATTTTTGCAGCAATGTGAATCAGTTGAGGAACACTAGTGCTTGTCCACCCCGAGTCCCATTACGCGATGATTCGAGCTGCAGGGACCGCGGCGGATGGGATTGGAGCTTAAATGGGGAGTCAGTATGCATATTAGGAGTTATGGATTAAATCGGGTTTATTCATTGCGTCCTTTTCTCTCTGAGGATGGAAGTTTTTTTTTGGACTGGCTTGATTTGCTATACCGTTCCTGACTCTGTTTTGGAATTAAGCACCGCGAAATGGTTGTAAAATACAAGTCAAAGCCTGGCAAAGTTGGAGCATATAGGTATCGGTTTCCAGTTTGTTGTGCGTCCAAGCCCTTCGTATTTTTCAAGAGAGGAATATGACCGGTAGGATTGGACAAGCAGAGCCCATATTAATTTTATAGACAGAACCGGAGTTAAGGATAAGAATAGAATATATATGTATTTTTCGGAAATTCGATAAAAATGAAACACGAAATGAATCGCAAATGAGGTGAATCTCACCCGGGTATCAGAACGAGCCCGAACTCCTTGCTCCAACTTAAAAACATTGATGTTACCTATGTTCCACATAGGAAAATATGTATGCATCCTTTGGGAGACCCCAAAACTCACAAAAGGTCTGGTGATCCGAAGATCACGACAAATGTCGCCGCTTTGCCGGCATGAAGATGCTCGGCGCCGGACGTCGACGAATGACGCCCGGGCGGGGAAGAGCAGGCCCGGAGGGAGGCGGGCGAGAGGGGGGAAGAGAAGAGGTTTGAGAGGCGGGGAGAGATGAAGATGAAGAGAGGTTCTCTGCACCGTGAGGGGGGGAGGTCGCACGGCGCTTCAGCTTAGGGTCAGAGGCCACAGCTGGTGACTTCTTTACGCCAGGCGCATCGCTGCTGGATGTGCCACGGGGTGAGGCGGCGGAGGCGGTGGAAGTCAGTGCGCGTAGTCGCGCCTCATTCTTGGCCAGCATGGGGTGCTGGAGCGAGGGTGGGAGCGTGCCGGGGCGCCGGATGATGCGTGGGGGAAGTGGTTGCGCCTTTGATGCCGGCCGTGGTGCTGGCTGCTCAGCGGGGCGGCGGTGTTCTTCGACCAAGCCAATCGGTGCGCGCTTGACTTGCGACGCACGGTTGTTGAGAGACTTTGTAGGCATCGTCAGCGCGGTGTTGCGCTTCTGCGGCTGGAAGATGCTAGGCTTTTTTTCAACAAGACCCGTTTTACGATCATACGTAGTATGTCGTTGTCGTATTGAAGGTCGGGATCCAGCCATACGCAAACCCTTGCTCTCGGGAATGAGTTTGGGAGTGAGGAGTGCACGCTTGGCACTGATGCCGTCAATCGCCATCTTCAATTTCTCCGCATCGGCGTCAAGAGAACGTTGAGCTTGGTCGCGGAGATCACAGTACACACCGTACCAGTTGTTGGTATTCTCCGGGAGTTGATACTTCTCCCACTCAGGAATGTCCCGTTTAATGAGCTCAAGCCACATTTCTTCATCTTCTTCAGCGAGGTGGGGGGATGCGAGCTCCATGGCGTGCTGTAAATCCAGAAAGAATGGTATTAGTAAATGAGCTTGAAACTTAGAATGAAGTGCAAGTGAGGCGATAGAGAGCGAGGTTTAGAAAGACGTACCAGCTTTTCGGGGTTATGGACATTAAGCAAGATGGGACGAGCAAGTGAGTATGGCATGGCGCCTAGATCATCTAGGTCTGAAAATGATACATTTAGTCTGGAATTATCCGAAACGAGAGAGTTCTTTCATCTATACCTTTGACGAAACGGATGGCTGTGGCTGTGGCCAGGTGAAGCAGTGATGGGGCCGGCATCTTGCTTATGACGGCAATAGTTCAAGCCGAATTGAGTACCATAAGATGTGCGACATGGGGTGAAAGCAAGTATACGAGAGATAATAAAGGGTGCGAGGCGCAAGTCGCTATTTAAAACAACAAAGGACCGATAGAAAGATGCCGGATGCGACGCTATTCTCGTGGTTGTAGACGGTAGGAGGCTAGACTTTAAATATGGAGGATGATCACGCGGTCGACGCTGATTGGCTGACTGAGGCTCTATGGATTCAATGGTTTATTCGATGCTCTTTGTTCGAATATTTCATATCTACAGTTAGTGAGTCTAGTACTGATCTGATATTTGTACAGTTTGACATTTGCTAAAGTGAGAGCTGATGACTTTTGTTGTTAATATACTGGGGGGTCTCAAGCTTCATTTCATCTTTGCTGGGAATCAACCACAACGACAGGGGTTTGACCGAAAGTTGACGATATCCCTTGTGAATATCGGAAGTAATATTGTTGCCCTTAGAATTATCCAATCGGTACCTAAATAGCAACCTTGGAAGTAATGCCAGCTGCCCTAGGATGTTATCCAGAGGGTCCCTCTATTTATCCGTGTGTACGACTTGTTTAAATTAATGAAGTATTTGGTAGCTCCCAGGAATGATAACTGTGGACTATTTTGCCTGAAGCAGCTTTTTATATTCTAACGGCTTCTTACATTCCATCTTGTTGTGTCTCGGATCCATCCTCCGTTGTCTCTGGAACTTATGTATAGTTGGAGGCACGTGATGCCCCACCACAAACAGCAAACAGTGCAAACACCGTCTTGATAGCATCATCGAGGGGCATATCAATGAACTTTTGAGAAATCAAAAATCAGCTCAGCATATCGCTACATTCTGTTGTCAGATACAAAATCCACAGGTATGTCTTTTATGGTCTTTTTTTTTCTGCCATGATACCCGTCTATATACCTAGTGCCTTGAGCAATTGTGCCAGGAATGCTAGTTGTACAGCTACCATTCGAGCATGCTGAGTGCTGGATATAGACATCCAATAGCGTTAATTAGAACACACCTTTCTCATACTATGGCCCCTCTTTTGGCAACCTTATTGGAGATTCCGAGTTAAAGCCCCAGACACGTCTAATTCTCAGACAGATAATCACAATGGCACCCCGCTCGCAGCTAGAGATCACCACTTCCTCCGTGACCCGCCTGGTCAAGGAGGAAGCTTCCTATCACAAGGAACTTCAGCAACAGTCTGAGCGTATCAAGAAGCTGGAAGCTGATACCACTGATGATGAGAACCGCGAGTACACCCTGAAGCAAGAGGTATGTGTCTTATACGGAAGCTTTACTTCCGCCAAATCATCTTGTCTAGTTTGAAACCTATAATACTGACATAGATTATAGCACATGGCTCTTGAAGAGACTAGAAAGGTTTTGCCTACGTTGAAGGAGAAGATTGTGCAGACCGTTGCGAACCTGGGAGCTCTGATTGTGAGTGGAACATCCCTTTTCTACTACCTATCTGTATCTTTGGATTCCATTAACCAATTCCGATAGATCGAGGAGGGCAAGAAGGGATCAGAGAGCAATGTTGAGCACATTACCGCGGCCAAAGAAGCCATTGCCCAGGCTAAGATCGCACAGCGCGAGATTTCGTAAAAGAGATGTTGATTACATTATAACTAAAAAAATACCCATAAGGTGGAAGATTCCATAATATCATTCAATAAATTGAAGCCATGCCTAACGCCAGACCATGAACCAGAACTCCTTGCTAGTGCTAGTAATGTACACGCCGAAATGCATCTTCAGGTAGTATCCATCTTCCCGCTGAAGTCATCAGGAAGTTCCTCGCCTTCCTCAAGTTCGGATAATTCACCATCACTAACTGTAGAGATTTCACCCTCATCAAGCATATTGGTGTCCTCCTGCGCCCCATCGCTTTGGGCAGTTGTGACTTGCCGCAAAGGCGAGGCAGCACCAGCAGCCCCGCCCTTCTCAACATGCAGAGCAGATGGCCGACCGGCATCATCTTGGCCATGCTGGGAGGGAGTCACGGCATCGCTTTCAGGACCAGGGGTGTTCCCACTGCTAGCCTTGCCCTTGGATGTGACATCTCCCTCGTCGCCGTCTTCGCCCTCCTGCATGCCTTCCCGGCGCTCGACTTCCTCTTTCTCATCGCGAATCAGTCGACGAAGCTGCATTCCCTCGTCCACAATACGACCGAACTGCTCGCGTCGCTCAGCCCAGGTCATGGCGTAGTCCTTGCTTTCCTTCTCGAGATCTGCAATCTCCAGTCGTAATTTCTGAAGGTTCGCTGACTGGTCTTCGCGCGGCTTGAGTAGGCGATTGCTCGTGATTTTATCCGTCAATTCATCATAGGTCTTTCGCAAGGAGAGAAGTCGCTGTGCCTCTTCGAGTTGACTGCGTAGATCGGCCGTACTTTCCCGTACAGACTGCATTGTCGACAAGATCTGAACTCGCTCAGTGGCATATCGCTGGCGTTCTTGCTCGTTGCTGGTAAGAAGAAATTGGACGCGCGCAATGCTCCCCTCGAAGGCGGCAAAGTCGAGTGAGACATCCTCGCGGAAGTGGCGCCATTCTTCGAGCCTTTTCTGTTTCTCGGCTTCTGTTGCGGTCGCATCGGAGTCGGCGTCGGTTTCATCGGGGGGAGGGGTGAGAGGGAGTGAGGATTGTGAGACAATGAGGGACTCGGGATTCAATAGTCGTTTCGAAATTCTCTTGAATGGTTTTTCTTCGACGTTGAGGAGACGCGACTTGTGGAGCGCATCTGTAAGAGCTGGGGCGTTAACATTGGCCTAGGAGGACAGAGCTCGAGGGGACTCGACCTTCTTCTGGCTGGCCTAGGAGCCCATAAGAAGCCATTTTGTGTATCTGATTATGGAATTCAATCCCAAAGTCTAATAGCACAGGCTGAATTGAAAGTGTTCGCGACTTTTAAGGTGGTCGAAGTGGGGAGGAATATGAAAAGTGAAGCCGAGCGGTCTGGCACTTGAACTCCGCCTTAACCTTATGTGACCTCCAGAGCTTAATGGCTATTCATCAACAATCAGCTGTGCTGCCTAACAAGAGTGATCGACTCTCGTTTACACAATTAATCATAGCCTCCGAGGTCTTTTTGGCTAGAGACCAATTCGAAAGTACCCAGAATCGATCGCTTGAGGATCACGCTGTACTCCGCAATTCAAAGCTGTTTGCAAGCACGGCCTGGTGAAACCACATTCAGAGGCCCGATGGACTTTGTCGCTCAAGGCTTTGTGACTGCTGTCCTAGCTGCTAACTTCTTTGTGTCCGCTGTACTTGCCTCAGTCTCATCACTATGACGGAGATGTACTCCGGCCTCCATGTGGGCCAGCGGTTTTGCTCTCTGGAAGAGTTCAAAACAGTGGTACGGAGTATATCAGTCAGGCAACACTGGGAGCTTCGTGTGGCTCGCAGCAACAGGAAGAGCGTGGTTATCGGATGTCGATCATCGGCAAATTGCTTCTTTCGTGTGGTCTGTCGCTCAAACAAAAATGCGACATACATCACCAGTCTTCAAGACAGCCATAGTTGCCGTCGGAGTGCAGACTCTCCTGCAGCCACACCCGCTCGCTCTGAAGCTTCTCATGTGCGATTCCTGCTGAGCGAGATCCCGAAGCTTTTCGATATGAAGTCGAAAATAAGAGCCCAGGATGTCGTGGATGCCGTGAAACGCTACCATGGGTATGACATCTCTATGCGCCAGGCACAGCGAGCGCTTACGAAACTTCAACCGCGACATGCCGAGGACCAGGATGAACCGGGGCCGGATGTCGACGCGAGTGCAGAGGAGCAGCAGTCGCCTGAGGAATCCCCTGAGTCGCAAGGAGAAGGGGCACACGCATATGGGGAGATATCCGAGAATCGCTGGCTTCCAGATAATCTCCCATCATCACTGATGGATAATGATAACATGTCCCCAAACGAGACCTCAAACAACCACCTACCTGCTCCACCATCTAGTTCCCAAGCCCTGCCACCTCCACAGGTGCAACATGTACCGATTCCCGCACCAAACCAACCCTCTTTCGATCACAACCCACATTCAATGACTATACCACAATCAGGGGTCGAATACCAGACCGCTGCTTCTTTACCAGTAGGAGTGGTTGGACCTCCGAAAGACTACCCTGAGCGCAGTGATCACGGTGCCGTTTCGCAGATGGTTCTTACCAATTTCAAGATCGAATTTACCTGCACAACCTGCGGGTCACTGAATCAGAGCTTTTTCCCAAATCAGGGCAATGTCACCGGTGCCAGCTACATGACCCATCATGCTGTACCGAGTTCTGGCAATGTTCCAAGACACGCTGGGCCTACTCCTCAAAATGGTGTTGGTAACAGTAGCAATGCAGTCGGCGAAAACCCTGCTTACGATATTAATGCCTCCAGCACACCTACCGTACAGAATGCCTGGCCTGGTGGTGACCTAGGAGTTCAAATTGGACCGGCACATACCTAACATGCCATGCTAAGAGGATGATGTCGGCCACTATGTTACTGAGATCCGAATATGCGGGTGTGCAACCTCGTGCTTGCACACTGCAACAAGCACCAGCTGACTTTATGCCTTACTGTGCATGACAATGGGTGATATTTGATACCTTGACAGTCTCGGTTTCTGATTTTCTAGGCGTTCTATGAGACGCCATGATTAGAATTTTGGACGCAGAATCCAGATTACGATGATAACATCTAACTCAGGCCTGAATAGGGCTAGTTCGATGAGTCTTTCTGAAATCTTTGTTTTGATTTTGACCTTGAGAACTATATAGGCTCATCTTATGTAGGGGAAGTAACATCCGAGACTGACTGGGGACTGGGCTAATATTGGTTTGAAGTCAACGAACTACGCTGGTTAATGCTGTTTTGATACCACTTTTGTTGATGGGATTGAAAATGCCCATTGCTATCTGCTCAATTCTGAGATTATCACCTCATCTACTATTACATACTGTTATATCCTTGCATTTCATCAAGTACCTTGTTCCCCAAAACAAGTTTCTCCCCTCATGCGGAGATGGACGATTTCGCGCAACCCCGTCCTCACCTACGGGTAAAAACAACAACTAGGTGGGCTGACCTTGATAGAACTGGACCACTTAAAGGAATATGTGGTGCTGGTGATAGAGGAAGAGAGCCAATGGGCTATGGAAGTTATACCAAAGCCCAAAGGCTTGCCTTCGTTAAAAGTGCCCTTGGCTATCGAGTCGCAAAGCCTTTAGCATAAGAGGCAGTGTAGCAGCACTAAAAGGCCCGTACCCATCTATGTCTAGGAGATATGGTCCCAAATAGTAGCAGCCCAATTGGTCGAATTGACCACACAATAAGTGATTAAGCTGCAGAACAACAGTGGACCTGAGTACTTCGGAGAAGTGTCCGGAAATAAAGGCCTAAATTACCCGATTCGGCATCCCGGACCGCCAATTACTCAGCTTTCGGACGTCCGATCGGCTATCCGAAACTGCGGATCCACAACAGACTCTGCTCTTCGCCAACCGCACTGAAAAGATAACGCGGAATTATGCCGACAGTGCCTGGATCGCCATCCATCGGTGCAAGATTGGGCTATAATGCACCAGGCACACGAGTTTTTACTTGTGTCGGACCTAGATCCGATGTGATGCCCGCCAGCGGCGCTCAAGCTCCAATCGACATCCAGCGCTCAGTTGCCGATGGATCGAAAGGCACTAAAAACCCTACCAGGGAAAAACTTTTCTTATCAATTGAATGACTCTTATATGAAAAAATATGCCGTGGGATTAGCTGTTCCTTTAAATAACATCGAGACCCTCCGCATTCCATACAATTGTACTCTGGATAGTATCACGCCAAGCATCCCCTCCCAACCTTAATATACTTCGTGTTGCAAAAACTTCTACGCCACAAGGAATACATGGCCTTTTACGAAATATCTCGAACAACCTAGAAAGAATTACTACTTAAGCAAGCTTTGCGCCGCCACATCTGCAGCCATGAATCGACAACGAGAGGCCGAAAAGGCCCTCCACGACCAAACAAATATTCTCCCATTCGCACAACTCATGGTTGTCTTTACAGGTCTGGCAATTTCCTTGCTGATTTGCATGGTAGATCAGAATGGTATCAGTGTCACACTACCAACGATCTCACGCGAACTGGGTGCCCAGAATACCATCTCCTGGGCTGGAACCTCATCGCTAATTGCAAACACGATGTTCACGGTACTGTACGGCCGACTGTCAGATATCTTTGGCCGGAAAATCATGTACATCTCCGCATTGATCTTGCTGTGTATTGCAGACCTGCTCTGTGGCTTGTCCCAGAACCCGGCTATGTTCTATGTTTTCCGAGGCTTGGCTGGTGTCGCTGGTGGTGGTATTACCTCTTTGACGATGATTATTGTCTCCGATGTTGTGACCTTGGAAAAGCGAGGCAAATACCAGGGTATTCTGGGTGCATCTCTGGGTCTTGGTAATATCATTGGACCATTTTTGGGTGCTGCATTCACCATGCGCTCAACGTGGCGCGGTTTCTTCTGGTTGCTTTCTCCATTAGCTGCTTGCTCTGCAGTCGTTGGATACTTTCTCATTCCGAATACTGCACGCAAAGATAGCAAAGATAGCTTTCGGGAGAATATTGGTCGTATCGACTGGTTCGGACTGCTTGCATCGTCCATTGGTATCATTTTCCTCTTGATTCCTATTTCCGGAGGTGGATCCTATTTCCCTTGGGATTCACCCATGGTCATCAGTATGCTCGTTATTGGAGGTTGTTCACTCGTTGCATTTTTGCTCATTGAATGGAAGGTGGCCACGCTTCCGATGCTACCAGGTATGTTATGACACCTCATAGTGATAAGAGGGTATTCAGTTGACATGAAACAGTCGTCTTCTTCAAAAACAAGGTCATCTCTGCAATCTTCTTGCAGAGCTTTCTATATGGTGCAGTCTACCAGTCAACCCTTTACTACCTCCCATTGTACTACCAGAATGCCCGTGGCTGGTCGCCAATTGTCTCTGCGGCGATGACATGTCCTATGGTTGTGGCCCAGTCAAGCTTCTCAATCATATCTGGATTGTACATTACACGAGTAAAGCGCTATGGCGAAATCATTTGGATTGGATTTGGCTTGTGGACCTTGTATGTTGACCGATGCCAAAGCCTCTCTACTTTCATCCCATACTAATAGTATAATTCTCATAGGGGGTCGGGTCTCATATTATTATTCGGTACTCACACCCATCCAGCTGCTATTGCAGTTATCGTGGCGGTCATGGGCGCCGGAATTGGCTTCACATTCCAGCCCACTATCGTGGCCCTACAAGCGCATTGCACCAAGTCCCAAAGAGCAGTCGTGATTGCAAACCGCAACTTCTTCCGCTGCATTGGTGGTTCATGTGGCCTCGCTATCTCTGCGGCAGTTCTGCAAGCCGCTCTTCGCTCCAATCTACCAACCAAATTCGCGTACCTGGCGGAGTCTTCTTACTCACTTCCTTCAAGAGCGAATATCAGCGCAACTGAATGGACTTCAATCCTGCTTTCTTATAGCAAGGCCTCTCACACAGTATTCGTTGTGCAGGTCCCCCTCATCGGTGTGTGTTTCCTGGCATGTATTTTCGTGCGTGACAGAGGTCTGGAGCGACCAAAGGAGCCGGAGGAGATTGAAGAGGAAAAGCGGAAAGCCCAAGAAGAAAGAGATGCCGAGGCGGCTACCTCTGAACCCTCCGAGGAGTCTGTCGACCATCAGACCTACCACCAGTCCGAGAAGCGTCATTCTGCATCGACATTCGCCGAATCATCGATGCCGCCCTCTCGTGCGGAACCTAATACTGAGGAATATGGGGAGAAGGATCAGCACCGAGGCATTTAGAGGCTTGGAAACGATGACGAGCCGTTCAATTTGATTTTGAGTTGGCTAAATCTGCATTTGCTTTTGTTGCATGGGCGGCGTATGATACCAAAAAGTTTATACATTTTGCGATAGATTAATTTAATATAGACGCTACTTGGCGCTTATGATTGTCCGACCTACCGAGTCTTCTCAATGAAAGTTATACGGTGGACTAGAAGCCGTTCATCACTTTCCAAGCTCTACTTTATAGAGTGTTAGCTCCATGAGTTTCTGGTTTCTCAGACATTTGAAATATCAATTTCATCACAGAAATCGGAATTAAAGAAAAATATAAAGCAAATGGTCTAAATGTATATCCCAGATGCCTTGCCTCGTAAACTATAGGCTGAGTTAGTATCAGTAGATGTCTTGTCTTGGCATTCCGATCCAACCGCATCTCCGACTTCTTTCAATCCCATCTTGTCATGGCACTTCACCAGCCTCTTGATATTTCAAACCGAGGTTGATATTTTCCAGGAAATTCGATATGTATGCGCTCGAGCAGAGTCCCGAGTCATCAAGACAGACAAGCCCCGCATCGCGAGATCATAACCCGCGGAAACGCGGGAGGACTGCATGCACTCGCTGCAAGACACGGAAGCAGAAGGTGAGCTCCAGTAAGTAACAAAGCTACAAGTATCTTGACTAACGGGATTTCAGTGCGACAATGAATATCCGACTTGTTCCAACTGCTTGAAGGCGGGGGTTCCGTGCGACAAGTCCAGTGTCCGAGAGGACCAAGACCGCCAGAATGAGTAAGGCCCAAATATATTAAATAGCCGGAAAATGCTAATTTGGATGTTAGTTACACACGTAGCTTAGAGGAGCGTGTAATGTTCCTCGAGCGTAAGCTTGTTGAGTCTGATCGATCATCAGACCATAATGCTATCGCCACAAATACTGCGTCTTCGCTGTTCTCCCCACAAGGTAGCCACACAACACCGCACACAACTACCTCAGGATTTGACAATAATCCTGTCAGAGAGATTGTGGGCCTCCTTGCTTTGAGCCCCTCTGAGGCTCCTGCATACGTAGGATCCAGTTCTGGCCTTTCTCTTGCTGCGGACCTGGGAGAGATGGTCCAAACGAGTGTATGGAACCAATTCATCTCAAGAATGCAGCAGAAAACCAGTACCGCCGCCAATAACTCTCTAAATAAGACAGGCCAAGTACATGGGCCATCAGAGCAGCCCAGCGCCACTCAAATTCGAGATCGGCCAACGAGGATGGAAGATCTCTTGCCGGCTAATGTTGAGCCTCCAACCGATGAGATGGGGACAAGAATACTCGAAACATATTTCACCCGACTTCATTCTCGATATCCATTTATTAATCGGAAACAAGTATGGCAGATCCATGCAGATCGATGGCGTTTAGCGAAGATCAAGCGTGAGGACCTTACTCGATCTGATCAATTTGCTATCTTCAAGCTCAACTTGGTCTATGCAATCGGTGCAACCATGCTCCGAGTGAGTGAAAAATATGCGTACACGTCTCCCGAGGTAATTCTATTCTCTAAAGGTTAGATTGCCCGACACTTACAAGTTTTAGCGATTTTATACTGCCGCCTTGCAGCATGTTCCCACAATGTGTGAGGCGCGATCCATTGACAATATCGAGGCCATGGTTCTTCTGGTTGTGTATCATCTCCGAACCGCATCCAGTCATGGCATGTGGTACATGATTGGACTTGCTATGCGTACTGCTATCGATCTAGGTCTTCACCGAAAGGCATATGAGACTAACATGGATCCATTTACCACTCAAATGCGACGAAGACTATTTTGGACTGTATACTATCTGGAGCGAGTGGTATCAATGTCCCTGGGTCGCCCGTTCAGTATATCTGATCGTCACATTGATCTCGATCTCCCACTAGAAGTGGACGATGACATTGAAGATCCCACACTACTCACAGCACCCCTAGATCCGACCAAAACTACAACCTTAACATTCGCAATCTACCTCTTCAAACTCCGTCGCATCGACTCCCGCATCCAGCATAAAATCTACCGCGCCGACAGACCCCTATCTTCCCTCCGACCAAAAATGGATCCTCTATACCTTGAGCTGGAACAATGGAAAGAATCCGCCGTATTGCGATTCAACGGCCCAGATCTCGACTACCCAATGCTTCACTACAACCGAGCAGTCCGACTCCTAATCCAGCCCTTCCTTCCCCTCCTCCCAATCACAGACCCATACTACCAAATCTGTATCCTGGCCGCAGGAAACATATGTCAATCCCACAAACGCCTACACCAAACCGTGGAATACGGCCACTCATTCCTAGCCGTGCAAACGGTTTTCATGGCCGGAATCACCCTCCTCTACGCATTATGGACACACACAGACCAAGTCTGGTCCGTCCGCATGAGCAACGACATCCGCGCCTGCTCAACAGTCCTCTTCGTAATGGGCGAGCGCGCAGCATGGGTGAAGAAATACCGTGACGCCTTCGAGCTGCTGGTCAACGCCACCATGGAAAAACTGCAGGGAAATGAAACCGCTCGCAACGCCGGAATGGCAGAGCTGATGACGGCCCAGTATGGCGTTAATTGGAATTCGACGACTGCGCCCGGCATGTCCGGTAGTGATAAGTTTCCTCCGGTCAACCCGACGGGACTGGCTCCTGATACTGTGGGTGGTACGCCCCAGCCGCAGGGTTGTCCAGATGATGATTCTGAGCATGCGGTTAGAATGGCCTTGCAACTGGCGCCGTGGATCGATCAGGATGAGAGTGATCCGCTGTGGGTGCCGGACTTTGAGACTTTGGAGAGTCTATCTGGGACTTTTTGGAGTCATGGTGATACGAGACTTTTTGATCCTTTGTGATATCTTTTTGATGTTGGCTGTAAACACATGTGAGAGATGGAAGATGATACCCTTTTATTCTGATTAATATGGCAGATACCATTTCATTTTCTAAGATATATCTATTAAGGCATGGGGGCTTTGCCTGGTTGTTTCGCGGCATTTGGGAGAAGAGCAATAAGAGGTCGCAAAATTTGAGCCTCACTAGATTGGGAAATTGGACCGTTGTTTTTAACATAGGTTATGTCTGGATATATTAAGCCCGTTAAGCGCAGTTTCCTGCTTGCTCGGTGTTTCGCTGACCTTTTTGGATGTCAAATCTAATGGCGTTCATGCGAAGTAGTCGACTAGTATCAACCTGGTCTGATGGCTCGGTTTGTAGATTTTTGAAAAAAGAAAATTCAAGTTTGCGATATGTTCAAGGGGGTATATCCGTAAACCAGCTTGCAAGATCAGGCAAATCAAATCTCCCAAGGAATCCAAACTCTTCCTGACCCGATCCCATCTCATCCCAAGTTGTAAAAAGATTAATATCCATGTTATTGGGCTCATGACGGGGATTGTGTTCATCTGACATCGGCTCGGTATGCTGCGATGACAAATCGGGTCGATTCTGTTGTTGATTGCCTCTTTGGTGCAGCTGAGTAGGAATTAACGAGGAAGAATCACTAGGCCGACAAGTAGCTATACGAGAATTAGCCTGTATCCAGTAAAGATCCATCAACAACGAACCTGAGTAGTTTTGCATAATATGCTGGTGCGTCACTTGCAAGAACTGCAATGAGTTGCGTGCAGACAGACTGAACATGGCCATAAAAGCCAATATCTCTTCGCACTTGCGCCAACTCTCATCCACGATTTGTGAATCAACCTGCTCCCGGATAGAATGGCATGAGTATGACATTATCAGGATAAACCCTGCAGTCGATGTGTCTAGTACATGTTAATTTATGAGCATGAATAACAATGAGCGGGATCGGTCACGAACAGAATCCATTGTACCACCATGCATCGGTTACAGTTGTTCGATACGTCTCGTGAACAAGTGAGACCAGGTCTATGGCTGCCATGACGCAGGAGGCGGCACATTTTGAGAAGACCGACGAGTAGATTATGTTTTTCTCGGCGGGTTGTACATCAGAGCGACGTGATGAGCCTGCTCGCTCATCAGAGCAGAGCTGAGTAAACATGGGGCGATATAACAGGAGGCGTAGGTGGATGAATCTAAGTTTTTCTTTTAGTTAGACATTGCAACTCAAAAGCCGGAAAGATGAATTACCTCGCACGCAACACGTTCTGCTGGCGCTTGAATATCGACGCATTGCCACTACCTGGGCGATGCAGCGATGGTTCATCTGTCCAATTCAAGGGTTGGGGCACGCTAGTCTCATAGGCGGTAAGTTTATCGTCAAGCTCCATCAACACATCCAGGCTACAGAGCTTGGAGCTCCGCAGCAAACTGGTGCGAGCGCTATTCGATCGACTCTGCCAAGCGTTATAGACCTCGGATAGAATAGACTCGAGGATTTTGTATAATTCAATAGTTGAAACGTAGAACGTCATATACCCCAACTTGTGATCGCAGGGTTGTCCGCTAAGCTCACAAGGATCGGCTTCTTGGGAGTCCGTTCCCATTGCAGGCAGAGGCAACGGTGAGATATGAGAGGTCATGCTCGGTCTTCCATGTGTCATGCTCACAATCCTATTTTCTTAGTTAGCTATGTCTTCAGAAAAGCTTTGAAAAAAAAGATTGCACCAACATGTCCATAATGACGCAGCTATGCCATGTACGCCGTCGTATCTCTGTCTCCAGAGGTTTGTTCGAGGCGTGTGTGGTTGTCTCGTGTAATCCGAGTCCTTGACCAGCTCGACACGCCAGTCCAACTGCATTCCAGCACCGATTTGGATAAGGAGTGCTCTGAAGAAGAAGTGAAATAATTAGAAGCGTTTGAACCACGCCGATAGTGCCTAAGTCCAGAAGATCAAGATTTACAAATCGCTTGGAGCGAAGGAAAAACGAATAAACCGCAGCCTCTCGGTCCGCAGGCGGAATATCAGAGAAATAGCAACCCAAAGCAAAGATGGCATTGAGTGCGCAATGGAAGACAATTGAATTGGGACCGCAATCAAATGCGCCCCCGAGTCCGATATTGAGTTGTGGCAACTCGGGCTTGGTTGCCTTGTCGGATTCCCAGAGATTTTCATATGCCTGCTCAAAACTGGGGCGATGCAAAAATGGGAATAGACAATGTACTCTGTCCCAGTAACACTCGAGAAGATGGTCTGCCAGAGATCGAGGAGGCAAGGAGAAATCATCGAACCGAAGATCTACTGAGGGATGGCCTACATCTCGCCAAATCCCTGTATCAGGGCCCTGGGTTCTCGAAGACTCATTCTTGTTGCCTTGCAGAGCTGACATATACGACTGCAAAGGCATGGACTCTCCTGCAAGACGCATAAAAGAGGCCACCGAAGAGTTCCCATAGTATTGCTGCTCCTGCGGAGAGTCTGTGCCTGGATCGTCTTCTGCTACAGATATTGCACCCATAGCGGTGACATTACCGTTAGGGTTGAGAGACGGTGGAGGATATATACTGCCTGCTCGTGGGTGGGCAGATTTAGGAGACAGATGTGCCGCATGTGGAGATCTATAGCGCCCAGCTTCCGGTCGATTTCTCTGCGCGGGAAATCTCGGCGGTTGAAAAATAGGCGTTGAAGACAAAGGACTTGGTCCAGATGGTATATGGGTGGAGCCCAGCCCTAGTAGCCCTTCTGCAGCCACAGATGTCCTGGATTCTGGGTCCAGATGATCCAGATCCATGTCTTCACCCATGTGACTTTGACTTTGGGATGCCCTGTAGTCTCCATGTTGTGAAGGCCCAGGTGGCATAGCAACCCCTCCTTTTACACATATGTCTTCAAGCTCTCGAATACGATCATGGAGAATCTTCAAGTATTCATCGTTGCTGGCAGACCTTGCATTATCCAGCTTGTATACACATTGATCAACGGTATACGAGCGTCGAGCGCATGGGCCACAAATTGGCTTTATACCATCGCACCTGACCTTTTTATCTCGGCATGACTCGCAGGCCAAGGCAATCTTGCGACGCCGCGGTGGCTCTCGTTTAGTAATTCCACCTTTGGGAGGCATCTGTTTGACAGCCCTCCTACAAGCTACCGCTAGGGGTATATGCGACCCACAGTATTGCCTCTGCAATATTTGATTGGTGCTCCGGATGGTGACCGAAAGAAAGGGCGCGTGGTGCAGTTCCTCCTTGGGAAAGGGAAAAGGAGTGGAACAATCCCGGGACTGTTGTGTCCGGAATGCACCCGGAGACCTAGTCACGTGTCAATCCATACCTCGTGAAATTTGCCCGAGATAAAATAGAAAAATGGAGAAAAGGGTTCCTGTTTTGTCTTATAATCAAGACTAGTGAACCCTGAACCCTGAGTGCTATAATTGGGCTCCTGGGTCCAATTTTTTGGATCGACATCATACGTGGAGACCCGGGATGCACCCGGTTTGTTTCTACTTTGTAGACAGGTGGAGGCGTTGAGAGAGGAATACTTGTTAAACAACCAACTGAATATTACATCACTACATCTATAGCTACACAGTTCAGGGGATATATGCAGAGAGAACCTTGAAAATGCAGCGAGTCAATTTAGCCAATCATTTCGCTGTTGCGGACATATTGCGGATGCAGTGCGGTTGCGGATCCGCAAATACTATGCCGGGTGCATTCCGGAATTGACGTAGAGATCCCTGCTGCCTCATTAACAAGGATACTTGTTTCAAATAATAGGATAAAGCTATTCCCCTTCACTTTCCCCTTTTATCCAACAACCAAATCAAGTGCTGTTACATATCGCTGTTGTCGTTCCCCGAAGCCCGATACCAGAAGATCAAAACCAGACTCACAAACATCAAAAACCCAAAGTATAATTTCAACTAAATACAACCTGATCCCGAATATGTTCCAAAGGCAAAGGCATCAATATTTGCCAGAACCTCAAATGGAAAACGAAAATCAGATGTTTCAATTGGACCATAATACCCTTTCACGCCACTGTCCCTGGCAAGCCGACAACCCTCAACCAATCTCCCGACAACAACGGCCCACCGAAGAAGGTCTCCAATGGGGGTCAGATCCCAGCTTCTGCTATCACGGCTACTCTAGCCCCATCGGCACCTGGACAGAGGAGCGGCTCGTGCAGAACCTGATGCGGAACATGGCCAGTTTCTGTGTCACGATGGATATTGGTTTTAATATTCCCGAAAGCATGGATGAGCCATCTCAAAAGCCTATACTGAGTCCATCGCAACTGGATGGGTTCACACTTCCCATGTTCCAGCCCTCAATGATCCCACAAAACGAAAGACTCTCCGAAACACCATCCTCGCCATCCTTATCCCAATCGAGCCAAGGCCAAATTCTCTCCCCAGATGATACCGAATGCACACAACGAGCAAGTTGTGTCAAAGCCAGGAATCGGTCTGGGCAAAAGAAGAGAAAATGTGTACAAAAGCCGGGACAGAAACTGTGCCACTGTCGATCGGAAAAGAAGAGAAGGGAGCTTGTTAGAGACCGATATAAGGAACTTTGTCGCATTGTGCCAGGGCTTGAGAAACAGGAGTACACGAGGAAATATGTTCTGGAGGAGGCTGCATTGTGGATACAAAGATTGGTCCAGGGAAATGATGCTCTTCATCAACAACTAGGGCACTTGAAGGAACAGGAGAAGTTGAAACAGTTGCGGTTATTTCCTATTGAGGAAGAAGAAGAAACGATCTAATAGTACACTGATTATATTTTGATTATATTTAACGGAGCTTTACGATGGCATGTAATCTAGAATAATAATACTAGATCTACTCATTTAATATTGCTTAGAATTGAACACTGATACCGACAAAGTCCTCTTGTCGGGGAATGAACTCAACACGATATTCTGGGGATAAGAAAAGACTGTGGCAGTATGCATGGATTGCAGATTCAGATAATTGTTTGTGTCTGGCTAGCAGAGACACAATGAGAGGTATGATGGTGTGTCTATCTAGAGATTGTCTTGGAGAAGTTGGAAATATGGGATGGCGGGTGGTGACTCCCTCTCCCTTACCAAGATGTCATGCCTGGTCACCAAAGAGATACTGTGCATCCCTCATTTTTGATTTTAAAATCATTTATAGGAGGATCTTTTCTATACCCAAGACGGACTGTTCCAGTGCTTGAATAATGTCAGATGCGGGCACTTCGGGTGTGTAATCTCCGTAAGTAGCCACTCGTTGCTTCGGTTTCGTCGAATCAGTGTTCTTTTTGCGAGATATCATGGGAGACGAACTCTCCACGTAGCAAAAGCCACCCTCACGTCGAATATCTTACTGGCGGTCACGTCAACCCCCTTTTAAAAGCTGTAACGCATTAGCCTTGGATACAGTCACAACAACCAGGATATACACCAGAGAAGCAGCTGAAAAATGTTAAGGAAAGGCAGAACACGTACACGATAAAGTCCATTTGGGCAAGTCAAGGGTATTGACAAATTCCAGGGTATTGATGGATGTGGGAGAGGTCCCGCAAGGTGTGTTCAATAACCGGAGGATGAGAAAAAGGAGGCAAAGAGAGAGGGAATAGCAAACGCATGAAGAAGCTGGCCTGACTTTTAAGGTAAATTCATTGGGCAAACAGGTTGTGTCTGCTTGCAATCAAATTACATTAAAGCCCAGAGGAATTATCTGAAATATTTGCTCATACAGCTCATCGTGCTAACCATATATTTTATTTACTGCCTATTTTACCGGCTTGCTCTTACCTATATACTCAACCCTAGGGACCTCTAAGATTCCTCGGCTTCTTCCACTTCCCCTTTTATTCTTACACAAATCGTCGGCTGTGTTTGCGGCCTTGTAATATCTTTTTAGACATATATATATTTCTATAAACTACCTATAGTATTTAAACCGCTTATTATGCTATTTAAAGGCGCCTCTAAGCTTAGGAAATTCGAAAGCGCGTACTAAGTTTAGTTAAACCTCTAGCTCTATCTACAACTTTAAACCGTTATCATCTAAGCTAATCTTAAAGATAAAGAGTTACTTCTAATTCTTTGTCTGAAGGGTATAATATGAAATAAGGAAATTCTAGGGTTCATGTAGGTATGAATAGTGTCATGATTAGTACCCATTTTCTAAGGCATTACTGCCTTCGCACTATGTTAATTATCTGCCTGGCAAAAACCCGGTTGGCGCCATGGCGTCTAGAACCTGCCGTACATATCCAAAGAATTATCATACTCTACCAAGAAGGCGCAATACCAGCGATCCCCTTCGCCAACTTCTGAATCTGCGCAGAATAGTACGTCTATAAAACCAGTCAGCAAACCACTCAATCCCCATAAAAAGAAAAGAAAGAAAGAAGAAAACCTACACTCTCAGCCCCAGCCCCAATAAGATGCAACGGCAAGAAGCGCGTATACCACGGCACAGCCACCTTATTCAACACCAACTGCGCCTCCTCATCACTAACACTCTCATCAAGCAACAGATGGGGGAATCTGGGATTGATAGCGGCCGGCCGTCCAATACCAACAAGATCACAAGCATCATCCCTAATAGCAGCCTCAGCGCCAGCACGCGTGCGGAACCCACCAGTCAACATAAGAACGAGCCCAGTATGGCGCTGTCGCACCTCCTTCGAGAACTCGAGGAAGAAGGCCTCGCGCGCGGCGGTGCGTGCTGATTTCGGTGCTGCGGCCGGATTGGCTTTGCCATAGCCCATCATTTTTGGGTCCTCGTAGCTGCCACCGGAGATTTCCATGAAGTCGATACCGGCTTCGGCTAGGAGGGCGATTTGGGTCATTGTTTCTTCGAAGGTTGCGGAGCTGTGGTCAGCGGAGTTTAGCTTGATGCCGATTGCGAAGTTTGCTGGTACGACTTTGCGTGTCTGGGAGAGGATTTCTAGGACGAAGCGCGCGCGCTTTTCGGGTGTGCCGCCGTAGGCATCTGTGCGGAGGTTTGTCTGGGATTGGAGTTAGTGTTGGTTTGAATAATGGTGTTGCTAGTTTGATGGGGGGCCGAGAGTGTCATACCTTGCTGTTGAGGAATTGGTCTAAATAGACGAACCATTAGCACAAAGATCATCAAGTCAACCATCCAAAAACAATATAAAAACATACCAATCAAATACCCATGCGCACCATGCAACTCAATACCCGAGAACCCAGCATCCGCCATAAGTCTCGCAGTATCAACAAACTGCCGAATAACTCTTTCAATATCCTGAGTGGTCATTTCCTTGGGCTTAGACCAAACCAAATACCCAATCAAACTCTCGAGGTAGCTATCTCCGACCTTCATAGGGATAGCGCTAGGCGCGAGCGTCTGCGCAAAGATACCACGGTAGCCTGAAACGCGGAAGGACTGCCGACCTGGATGGCAGATCTGTGCAATGGCTGGTGTGCCGTGTTTTTGGCAGGTGTCGGCGTATTTCTTCCATTCCGCGACTAGGGCGCTGTTGGTCTTGCTGTCAATGTATTCGCTGTGTATGGCTGGATCGTAGGGACCGCCCATGTGGTTTACGTCGACTTGGACGTTTCCTAGGGAGGCGTTAGATTGGGTTTGCTTGTCGGGTCATATTTTGATGGTGTAGTGTGGAATTGGGTCATGTTTAGGGCTTGAGAGTTCTGCATTTGCCATTGAAGTCTCAACCTTAACATGACAGCATTAGATCTTACCTGTAAGGATACTCCCCCATCCGCCGTCCGACCATTGCTCATAGGCATCAGCCAGGGCGGTTGTCGGCTGATTCGTTTTGGCTATCATCTCAGCCATTGCGGCCTAAAAGGACGTTAGTTTCATTTATGCATAGCCATTTGGCGTGAACATTGCATGTGATTTGTACCTTGCTCAGCCTGTTCGGCAAAACGAGTCCACATGGGAGCTTGACGGGGTCTGCGAGTGGAGATGGCATGGTGTATATGCAGCTTCGTATGCGATCAATATATGCAATGTAAATTATACAGTCTAATGCAATTGGTGATGTAGGTATTAAAGTCCAACAGATATTAAACACGCTGTCATTGATGTTAGTCTCAATTCTCACAACTCAAAGGGCAGACATACCTCTATACCACCGAATCTAAATAAGAAAACTGCAAAGAATGAAAAGACAGCTTTGTCAAAATTTGTCAGAACATAAATTTGCTTTCAAAGCCCATGTACCTGAGAAACCAGGGCTCGGAAATTTAACGTTTAGTCATCTCGCCGCTGCGGAGGGATTGATGTCCGCGTCTGAAGATTGTGGAGTCTTCAGGGCCGGGGTTCCACATTGAAGAAATGTGGATTGGGAAAGTCGGGGGTTGAGTTCATCCGGTTGGAACTTTCGAGTGTGCTTGGGTGGTTTGATTAGTTGACTATCAGTGTCGCCATTATTGTTGTTAATTGACAAGGGAAGATGTTGCGAGCTCTGTATATGTGGAGCTTCTAGATTTTGAACAATCAGACAAAATCAACCCGTGGACAAGCTAAATTGCAGATAATATGGAGGCTAGTAGTAGGGTAATGGGATAGTGTAAGTGATTTTTAAATTTGTTCATTCATATGGCAATAGGAGCTAACTGCTAACTATCCCCAAGATGCTATAACCCCAAAATGCAAGCCAAAAACCAAAAAAAATAAGTGCTGGGTATTCAATCAGGGAAAAAGAAGTTCGTGTCCAACCCGAAAATAGGTAGGGAAGGAAAAAAAAATAACAAAAGTGCGCTCGAAACCAAAAGGGGAAATATGAAGTCAAAAGTGACATGCAAGTCCATCACGTAGAGATCCTAAGCGCTGACGGATTAGAGCGGATGCTCTTTTTGTGTTGCAAACAAAATGCAGTGTGCAAAGCCGAGATCAAGATAATAAAAAAAAGATCAAGTCTTACAGCTTGGCATTCTTCTCCTCAGTCGGGGATCCACTCGCCGTGATGGGAGGGGAGATTGTTCCCAGACTGGAGAGAAGGTGGCCGACCTCACGCTCCAGAGCGCGGACCTCAGTGTGAGGGTCATACATGCGGGCCTTGATCCAGTTGTCCAACTCAACATCGCTCATAGAGCGGAGGGAGATCTCGCGGTCCACCTTGTCCTCCTGGGCAGCGCGCATCACCTTGCGGGTGACGACGACACTGACCTCGCGGATGCGGGTGATGTCAGGGTAGAGCAGACCACGCTCGAGCTCCTCGCCAGTGAGGGCAGTGGAGAGGGCATCGCCAGAGGCGTAGATCATGCTGTCTGTGACGCGGACGGCCTTGGACAGGATGCTGCCGAGGCCGATACCGGGGAAGACGTACATGTTGTTACCCTGGCCGGGGTAGTAAGTGCGGGTCTCACCGGCGGAGTTGGTGAAGGTGAAGTTGGGGAAGGGGGAGCCGGAGGCGAAGAGGCAGCGGCCGTCGGTGTGGGTGACAGCGGTCTCGAAGTCACACTCGGACTTGGAAGAGGGGTTGGAGAGGGGGAAGATGAGAGGGGCGGTGTTCCAGTCAGCCATCTTGCGCAGGATCTCCGGGGTAAAGACGCCGCCCATGGTGGAGAGACCCATCAGGATGGAGGGCTTGACGTAGTCAACGACCTCTTCGAGGGTCTTGTACTGCTCAGCGTTGTTGTCACGGCGGGCGAAGTAGACCTTGTGGTCGGCGAGCTTGTCACCACGGTCAGCGGTGACAAGACCCTTGGTGTCGACGAGGTAGAAGCAGTTGCGGGCTTCGTCCTCGGTCATGCCTTCGCGCATGAAGAACTCGACAATCTGGCGAGCAACACCGACACCGGCGCTGCCGGCGCCGAAAAACACCGCGCGGTGGTCCTTGCAGGGCAGGCCGGAGCGCTTAACAGCGTTGATGACACCGCCAAGGATGACAGCACCAGTACCCTGGATATCATCGTTGAAGCAGGTGTACGAGTCACGGTACCGCTCAAGAGCGGGGAAGGGGTTCTTGAAATCCTCGAATTGGATGACGATACTAGAGAAGCGTTGTTAGTGGTTGTTACAGGGAAATCTCCCGAAAGACATGTGAGAGTCACTTACCCAGGCCAGCGCTCGGTAAGAGCAGCCATCAGCTCGTCCAAGAACTCCCGCTCCTCTTCGGGTGAGATCTTCTCGCGACGGCTGCCCATGTAAAGCGGGTCTTCCCGGAGGGCCTTGTTACCAGTACCCAGATCGAGAGTCAGAGGCAGGGTGGCCTCGGGACGAATACCCGCACAGGCGGTGTAGAGAGCCAACTTTCCAATGGGGATACCCATGCCGTTGATGCCCAGATCACCGAGCCCGAGGATGCGGGAGCCATCGGTGATACATGTGATTTCAACGTTTGACTCGGGCCAATTGGAGATGACCGAAGCCAGATTTCCGCGATCCTCCCAGCTCAGGTACATACCTAAAATGATTGTTAGCGTCTCCGGTTCTATTTCGTGTGCGGAGAAAAAGCCAATTGCGGAGAAGATGATCTCCAATATGGTACGTACCTTCGGGCTGTTGGTAGATCTCGGACCACCGTTGGCAGGCCTCGCCCACCACTGGGGTATAGATCAGGGGAGTCATTTCCTGCAATTATGGTTAATTTTCGTTTCTTCACATGTCCCGGTCCAATCACATGTCTCGGTGCTCAACATACCCTGAGGTGGTCTGTCACCAGACGGTAGAACAGGTGCACATTATTCTTGCGCAGAGTGCTGAGGTATAGGAATTTATCGATGGGGGTGTTCTTCAGACCCAGCTGAGCCAGGCATCGGGTCTTTTGTGTTTCGTAACCCTCGGCGCGAGGAGGAGTGAGGCCGTATGTGCGCAGGTACTTGCGAATGTATGCAGGGTTGGCGGTATCATAGTTGGCGTCACTAAAAAAAAAGAGGTATTAGTGACTGCTCTCCATTGCAAGTCTGAGGTAGGTGAGCTGATCATTGACTTACGAAGGCGAGGCGTGGTTCACATAAGGAGCCGGGGTGGCGTGCACCGGCCGGCTTTGTTGAGAGGGCAGTGAAGGGTATCGAGCCATTGTGATTGACTGAGAGGACTTCGAGGTTGGAGTAGAAGTAGAATGATAGAAAGAAAAAGATTTGGGAGCAGATGCGAGTCTGTTTTTATGTACACGAGACAACATACTAAATTTGCCCTGAGACGTTCGTGCGCACATCATGGACATTCCGACAGGAGGATGGCCAGATAATTAACCGGGACCGCGTGTCAAGGCGACACAGTATAGTAAAAAAAGAGTCATGATTTGTAGTCGGGAAGAGTCGGACGGAGGAGAGGGTCATAACCCATGTGGATTCATTTTCGGTGTTGACAGCGAACCGTTGTGCATGAAAGTCTTTCTGGAATCTGGATCCCTCCAAAAGCTTTTTTTTATTTTTATTTTTATTTTTGTTTTTCATTTTTTATTACTTTTTTTGTTCGGGAAGTAGATCCAGCAAGGAGAGTGTATCGCCGTGTGGAGACGGGGAGGCGCCGACTCCGACAAATGCGGAGACACAGTCAAATCATTGTTGAATATGGAAAAGAGTATTATCTATTAATTGAATGAGACACATAATTTACATGGAAATTACATGGATGATCAGTGCGGGATTTATTTCTCATTCCAGCATTGCGCAGGGAGCTGCACTGCTTGTACCTCCACACATGTTGAAGTTGGGGATGGGGAGGAGAAGAGGAGAAGAGGAGAAGAGGAGAAGAGGAGAAATTGAGAAATTGAGAAATTGGAGTATCTCGGAGTTAGAAATTTCGAATTTCCACGGTAGACCTTGAACTGGTGATGACAGCTACCAAGTAGAATTGTGAATAATGAAAGACTGTAATCTGATTGGCTACAAAAGCCGGGGAGGGAAACGCCATGGGTTAACGCTAGTCCTTTTTGGTGCTTAGTCTCCACCCAAGTCCACAGCTACGAGCTTCCAGAGCCGCAGATAGTGCCGAAGTGGAGTGAAGCTATACCCTAATTAATGTCCATTCGGTGTTTCCATTTGATTGGATTTTTCTTTGTTTCTTTTTTTTTTTCCATTTTTTATTTGAACTTCACATTCTTCAAAAGTCTTCTAGAAAAGATATTGGAAAAGGAAATTGTAAATCGTAAAACGGAACTCGGTGAGGGAGACTGCCACTCTAAAAACATCTGATGTTGCTACAACATACGGTATACACGTTGTACCTATAGATAGGGAATTTATATAAAGACCTCTTCCGATCGGAAGCTCTCCGGTGAGACTTTTAGGCCTCCTGTTTCGAGTCCGCCGCGTTGACGATGATATTCGGCCTTCTGAATGGCTCTCGGTCGCCGACACAGGGGTTTTTGATTACTTATGTTCTCCAGCACGGTTGCGTTATTTTTTTCCCCCCCCTTCATCAATTCTACGCTTTTCAATCGTCAGGTCTGGAACCACATCCACTCAGCTTTTGTCGGAAGAAACAATTCGGAATCCAGGGATTTCATATCCCGTCACCGATTGGACCCCTTGTCCGGGTAACCTGGGACCTCTGCGTAAGGCGTAAAGCTTCTATTAATAATCTTCACTCCTATACTCTGCTCTACTGCGTACATATTGGATGCATATCTCCGAACTCGTCAGGGCTTTTTCTCACCTGCAGTTCCCAACGTTGGGGCAGGCTTGGAAGGGCTTGGCTATTTTTCGCGTGGGTGTACATCGTAGAATGTGAATGAGCTCATGCACTGGACATGTCATTCTCGATTACGAAGGGCTCCGTACATGAGGCATATATGTACATTTTTTGCTTTTTGTCTCCTTTCTACTGCAGATCAGGGTCTCCCTGTCAATAATTACGCAATTTAAAAGCGCAAAATTAATAAATCGAGAATCAAATCAAGTAAACATCGAAATGAGCCCGATCTAATTGGAACTATTGCCATTGCCTACGGAGTAAAAACTACGTGAATGGCCCGGCTAAATCCACAGCTTTCCCCAGATCGCGGATCATCGATTCTTTACATAATGGTTTCAATTATTTCAATTACCTCAGAGCTTTCTGTCGCTTGATCATTTCTTAATTAATGAGAGGTACAGAGTAGATTCAAGAAACATTCTCGCTTTAATGTACTTAAACAAAACAGCAAGAGCAAACATTTATGTTGCACCGTACGAGTGATGTGTCGTCATGTGCCCAAAACAGGTTCCCGAGCTTAACTCCTCCCCTACGTAGAACTTCCACATTCATTTAGCTTCATCTTCAAACATTACTAGTTTTCTCACACGGTCCAGCAGGGCCTATTCAATATGCCCTCCGAGACCGAGCCCCTTCTCCCTCGCTACGAGGATGACACCTCCCGTCAGCGACAACTCCATCAAAAGCTACATAGCTACCAGATGATCCGCGCCATCTCCGAGGGATATATGCCAACAACTGAACAAACCATCGCCAACCTCCGCACTCTCCTAGCTTCTGACATCCTCAACCTACGCAAGCAGGACATCGGCAGCGTCGGTCGCCAGCTAGTGCGGGACAGTCGACTGTGGATCCAGGTCTTCATCGAATTCCTACAACAGAAGAACAGCCAAGACCAGCTCCAGGAATTTCTGTGGCGCCTGGCCCGTTCACGCATCGAGGTGGATAGCGAAAGGATTTCGAGACAGGCCACCCACGTGAAGGCGCGGGCAGATACTAAAGCTGGTGGGTCGCGCATTTCCACTCCCCAGCTTACGGGCTTGGCACATGCAAATCACAATATGATGACGGCTCGCTAACCCCTGCACGTAGCATATGACAGTTTCCGTACTGTCGGGGGTCTGCTTTTGACTAACGCCGATTTCCGTCTTTTTGTCGATGACATCGTTACAGTTGGCCGCCAAATCTTCGCTGATACCGCCGACTCCCTCGCTGAAACCTCCAAGCGAGTTGCGGAACAAATCAAACCGTCCGAGGAAGAAGAGCGGGCGCTACAGGGTCCCGGTGCTGATGAGGGGCATGCATTATCGAAGGCCGAGGTGAACGAGGAAATTGCACATGTTGCGGATGTGGCCGGGGAAGGGATCGCTCAGACAAGCCATGATGCCGTGCAGAGCGCTAAGGAGCATCTTTCAGACCGAGAGAGGGATACCTTGCTGTTCCGACTGAAGCAGGCGGTTCAAAAGCTTCGGGAGAGGACGGATTACTCTGACTCGGTGGCAACGCTTGCTCAATTGGTAGCACGCTATGCTAAGATCTACGCGGATGTAGCAGAAAATACTGCCTCGGTCGCCCAAGAAGACCTAGAAGTCAATGCTGACCTCAAGCGGGCGGTCGACGAATTCTGGATTCTCTTGCGGTCATTCGGTAGTGCAGAAGAGTGGGATCGGCTGCAGGAGAAGTTTCATAATGTCTTGCGCCATGCAAACAAAGATCCCGAGTTTGATAATCTGCTCGGAGAGGTCGGAACTTCGTTGCAGGACATGCTCACCAACCCCGATTTCTTCGACTCGGCACCGCAGAAGCTGGATGAACTCAAACAACACTCTGACAAAGTAGGCTCAGAGACGAACCTGCGAAAGGATGTGGACGATTTCCTAGCACAGACCAAACGCACACTTAGAACCGTGCCGGAAGACCCAGCCGTCTCCAAGTTAATCAATGCCACTAAGAAGGTCTACCAGGGCGCCTGGGGCGCCTACAACGACAAGAAGGCCGACCTCCCAGCAGACTTGGTGAACGTCTTCCTCCCAGTGTTCCTCCGAGCAATCCAGTACATCCCAATCCCCCGCCTGGAGATCTCTGCTCCAGAAATGGACCTCCTCCTTGAGAACCTAATCCTTGAACCCGGACACACAGTAAACTTCTCCTCTTTCCTCCCCTACCGCATGCATCTCCTCACGCGCAATGACATCGACGTGGTAAAAACCCACTCCAAGCGCACAGAAACACTCATGAAAACAGCCTTCACAGTCACCGTCCAAGGTCTAAACATCAGCGCCGAGGACTTCGGTTACTGGTTCCGCACCCACACAGGCTTCTTCCACCTAAAAGACGAAGGCATAGCAAGTTTCTACCTCGACCGCCGCGGCATCGACATCTCGCTAGACATCGAAGTCGGCCGCAGCAGCCTGGAGCAGATCTTCTCTTTGCGCGGCGTTCGCGTCTGCATCCATAAGCTCGACTACACAGTCAAGCGCAGCAAGTGGAGATTCCTCCTATGGCTAACCAAGCCATTGCTGAAACATCTCGTGCGACGCGTACTGGAGAAGAAGATCGCAGAGGAGATTGTTGCCGCGACGTTCGCGCTGAATCGCGAGCTAGTCTTTGCTCGTGAACGACTACGTGCTGCGCGCATTGCTAACCCGCAGGATCTGGCAACTTTTGTGCGGGCTGTCCTCGCCCGTCTTAAACCTGCTGACTCGGATGTCGAGACTAGGATTGGTCTTGAGCCGCTGAAGAAGGGTGTCTTTAAGGGTCTTTATACCCCCGGCAGTATTGTCAAGACTTGGCATGAGGAGGCTACAGGTGCGCAGGAGGCTATTGAGAATGGGGATGAGACGCGTGGGCTTGGTCATACCTGGCAAAATGATATCTTTAATGTTGCCGGGCAGCACTGATTGCATTTTTTTATCTGATTTAGGAGGTTGGGGAGTTGTTCTACTTAGTTAGCAGCGTTTTTATGATTTTATGATGAACCCGAACACGCCACCGGATATCAGTCTGTGCTGGATGGCTTTTATTTTCTGTTTTAGTGCTCAACTTTTGCTTCTTTTATTATGGAATTATCTAGCAAATTAAGAGCGCTAATAGAGCCTGATATGTAACGCTACAGAGATAGATAGGTGATATAACACAAGTGTCTTCTACCCAGTTAGGAAACGAAACTACTCTTAGAATCCCCTTCAGCAAAACCCCCAGTACTTCGGATTATACTAAGGCGATGTTTGCTGTTTGCTCAGGTAGTGTCTATCGGACCTCTCTTTGTCCCTGATTCTAATTGTTCTTTGTCTCCATGAAGTTATATAGAGATAGCTGCATAGCAATGAAAGCTTTCCGGCTTTCCAAAGTTATTCCATCTTCCGCAAAGCTAGATAT